AAGTGGTTTTCTCTGGCATAATCAAATGTGTTTATTCCCATTTTTTTCTTTCTCATGTTACATTATTCATTGAAGCCATGGGTAAGGAAAGATGCTAATCAAAAAGGTTTGGCCAATTTTGAGGCTATTGCTCATTATTCATTCTTAGTCATCCAGTGTCCTCTTTTGTTGTGACATTCTTTAAAGGACGGGCTCTTAAATGGAACAGTGAACATTGCATTATTCTGCATATTTTAGAAGTGATGAGGAGAAAATAGAGGCTGGTAGATGAAAGAAAGCTCATTAAAAGCCACATTGCTTGTCACATATGGCAATTAGGATGCAATACAGGTCATATTAAAATTCATGAGATATCCACCTGTGGCCAGGAAGTTCATTCTTAAAAGTTCCTATTATGAGAAGTTAAAGGAAAAGCTTTAAAATTAAAATCTGTGTTCTAGGTCAGAGGAATGCTCCACTTTGGGCTGCTCAGAGAAGGAAGGTTTAAGAGATGGGACACCAAAGGACTGGAAATGAGCAGCACTGGTGCATTCCCAGCACATGAGAAATTCTGTGCTGGTGTATCTTGGAGAGCAGATCTCGAGTGCTTTCAGCTGTCAGTTCAATGCCTTATGTGTCACTCTGTCATTTCTTCTTTCTAGTGAACAAAATCACCACACAAATGCCAGGAACACCCCAAACCTGTCATGTTTTTAACTTCACACGCTCTTTAGAACTTCGCCCCCATTTTGCACCAAAATATCTCCAGTTTTTCCTGAATCACATCCCTGTGATTCAGCTTTCCCTCCTCATTCACTCACTGATCTCTCTCCAAGCTTTCCATTATCTTGTTAAACATCTCAATTAAAGTACTATCAGTCTGTTTTTATAAGTTCAAATTCTCTCTGCTGGATTTTTTCCATGTTTGCCTGCACTGTCCATTTTATCCTCTCCTTGCCTTCCCTTACTGACTCCTCCTCACACACATGTCCCAGAAAAGACCTGGCCCATCCTATGCACTACACGAATTAAAAAGAAATAACAAACCAAACCCCTCAAGAACTGCATTATTGAACAGGTGGCAAGACTGCAGAAAAATAAACAAATATGGGGAAAGTAAACACTGCTGCATCTGAGGAGTTTCATCAAGCCTGGGGAAAGCACCAAATGAGATGAGACAAAGGAAATCCTGATTTTGGCTAAACACAGACAAATGTTGGGCTGTGCAGAGATCCAGCACTGGGAGATCTGTGAAATACCAAACAAATGTGCTCTAAGCCCCACTCTGAGCATTGACATACAAATAAACATCACTCCTTTATTTTCTAAATACATTCAGAATTGAGGTATGGCTCTACAAGAGCTACAAGTTTAAGTTTTGTAGATCAAATAAAAATAATTACAGATTTCATTGTGGAGGATTTGGGCTACATTGAGGAGGTTATTGGGCACCTCAGCCCCATAAATCTCATGATGATGGATTTTTGCCTGTAGTCAGACCCCCAGACTCTGAAGGGATCTGCCCCACAGATGGTAGCTGAGGCACCATATATCAAACTCTATTAAAAGCCTCATAAAGAAATACATTGATGTTAACAAGACTCTTTCCACTAATAATTTGAAGGGGCTTTGGACAGAGGCCTATACAAACAAGGATGGAATTAGAAAATGGAAATCTGTTTATATACACAAAACCTGTCAATCCAGCTGTTTGCCTTCCAAGGATGACCTAGTACCACTTAATTTCTGAGGCATTTAAAGGGCAAAGAGGCAGATTGATATTTTAACTTTCACCTGAACTATTTGCAAATATTGATTCTAATATTTTAAACAAAGAATTACAAACCCACTGGCATCAACTGGATTTCTTTCTACATTAATATTTCACTGATTGCAAATACCTATATTCTGGCCACCTTCAGTAATTAGCTGAAATAAATGGAGCGTGTGTCATCTGTTTAGTGCCATGTCCTTGAGACTGCTCCGTTTGATTTCCACTTTGATTCAAAGCTGGGGTTGATCAGGACCAGCTGCTCAGCCAAAGGGCACATCACACATTCCCATTCCTGCTCCTTCTCCATCCCAGCTCCCAGCCAGCCTATTGTTTGTTACAACTAATTAATCCCACATGTCCTGGCTGCCAGCGAGCCTCACAAACCCCAAATTTTGGTATTTACTGCATGTCCAATAAATTAATTCCACTTCTGGAGAGGTGCATAAACACAGTTGTGTACATACAAGCAAAACACACATTCTTACCCAGCCTGATTTATGGTTATTATTATTGATATCTGTTTGACAGCTGCTATTATTATTTCTAGCTGGCCTCTTAACAACCAAATGTGAGTAAATATAGGTATGTATTAGTATCCAAACATCTCTGTGAGGGTCAGATTTTCAGATCTTCATTCCAAACTGATCCCAGGTGACATGGGAACAAGGCACCAAGCATCAGAGTTACTGCCCAGGCAGGACCTTGCCCTTGCCTGCCTCTGGGTGAGGAGAAAAAAAGAAATTTTAAATATTATAGCCAGAACTTTTAACACCAGAACTTTTAACTAAAAGCAAAACTCTTTTTTGCCAGAACTTTTAACACCACAGCTGAAACTGCCTGATACTTTCTGCTGAAACCTTCCTGTTTTCACTCACACCTGTAACAAGTGGTGACCGTCCTCCTCACTGGGCCCTCACCTCAGGGATTATTGTGCCTCTTGCAGTTAAAATTGTTCAGCTGCTCCCCGGGAAATCCACCGGATTTTCCCATGTAAGTAAATCCAGCAGCCAGTTTGCTGAGCTGATGTCAATCACCCATGTCCTGGATCAAGGAGAAGTTTGGTGGAGGAGATCAGTTGCTTTTTGTACCTCTGGCGATATCTTTAAAAGCTCAGAGGCTTTGAAACCTCTTATTGCACATGGCAGGTGGAAGCTTGGAAGCTCAGCTGTGTCCAAAGAGCCCAAACTTGCTGTGGAAGGAGGGATTGAGCCATTTCCAGCTGGTTTTGGTGGTGCATCGTGAGCATCTCCCCCTGTGCTCAGTGCAGCAGATGGGGAACGAGGAAGATGCCTGTCTGTAAAGAGAAATGAATTCTGCCCTCATGCATTGGAGTCTCTTCTCATCACTGTCATGTTTGGAGCAAGTGTGAATCCCCAGGTTCTAGAAAAATTGTGAAAAAGCCAACAGGGAAGGTGAAAGCAGAGATGAACCACAGAACATCCCACCACAGGTTGGAAATCTCAATTGTCTCCAGCACAACAAAGAATCCAAAACCTAATTACAGAGCTTTAATATCCAAGTGTTTTCCACCGTCATTAATTTATAGAACGGTTTGGGTTGGAAAGGATCTTAAAACCCATCCAGTGCCACCCCTGCCATGGCAGGGACACCTTCCCCTGTCCCAGCTGCTCCAAGCCCTGTCCAACCTGGCCTTGGGCACTGCCAGGGATCCAGGGGCCGCCACAGCTGCTCTGGGCACCTGTGCCAGGGCCTGCCCACCCTGCCAGGGTATTTATTCTTTCCAAATATCCCATCTAATCCTGCCCTCTGGCAGTGGGAAGTGGTTCCCCCTTGTCCTGTCATAACCCACCTGATCCTATCAGCAGAGGTGGAAAGTGGAGCCGTTTTTTCCTTAATTTAACAAAGAAATGACACATTGAAACAAGAACATTCTCAGATGATCTCATGTAGATTGTGATGACCTTAATGAGCTAATAAACCTGATAAGGCAGTCCTTGAGATGGTCCAAAGGCAATGTCATCCCCTTGGGAAGCTGCTGGCCCCTGAGGAGACAGGGACAGGGATGTCTCCTGTCTCTGTTCCCCAGACCAGGTGCATTTGCCACCACCCTTACCTGGAGTTATCCTGCTCCTTATACGCTGCCTGCCCCACAAATGGTTTTCCAGATGTTAGAAATTACATTTTCTTATCCCCTATCTATTAGTATAAAAGCCCATATTTTTGCTGCACCAATGCTAAATTAATTTCTATTTGTGTTAACATTAAATTTAAAATATTTTGTTGGTGCGCTGGATGTCTCTTGGACAAAGTTGAAGCCATTCTACAACCCCTGATCCCCTGTTCTGCTGTACTGATGGTTCTAAATCACAGATTTTGTGCTATATGCCCCAGTCACTAACATGAAGTTTCCTCCCGAAGTAAAGGGAAGTTCAGCTGGAGGGGAGTGAGATTTGGCCCCAAATTTTACTGCTCTAAACTTCATGGACCAAACTCACTCCAAAGTATCCCAAACCAGTGAAATACCTACCAGACAGGCAGGGAACACAGAAAGGGATTTGAAAAGAGAACACTCTTTTGGGGAGGTGCAATTAGGTGTCAATGGGAACAAGTGGGTGATAAAAGCTTATCTTGTTTCTGCAAACTTTAAAAAATGGAATTGGGGTGGCCCTTTTATTATAAGGCGTTTTTGTTGCTGTTTAATTTCTTTACTTAACTAGTCAATAATTAAATTGAGCTTGTTAGGGCTTAGTCTTTTCCAGGAAGATCTCTGTTTACATATCTTCCTCTGGAGGGCTTCAAAGTGAAATCTCAGAGAAATTCAGGGGTTTAGAAGTGAAATTAATTCAGAAACCTCTCTTAGATTAAAGTGACAAGGGATAAGGTGAGGTGTCACTACACATAATCACCTTTTACCGTGAAATCTGTCTCTGTTCTTTTGCTTATAGAACAGCAGCTTTTACACCAAGCCAGTTGCCAAGTGTAATTAAGAATAATTAAGAAGGAAAAGTCCACAGACTAGCCAGACTACAGCAGAATTAATACATTCCAAATCTTTAACTCCTTCCCTTTCAAGCAAAGAGGTTGTTTCAAAGTACGTAAAACATCTGCAGATCTGTTCTGTGGGATATTAAAATTTAATGTGTTGTCATCATCATCACCACCACAACCACATTTATTGTTATTATTACCAAGACTGCCATTAACTGGATATTCATTAATGCTAATAGTCACAGTCAGAGTGAGATTCAGCAGGCTCCAGACTCTGGAGGAGAAGCTGGAAAGTTACCTGGTGGCGTTTCAAGAATGGCTTTTCCTTTTTTGTTGTTTTTCTTCTGTTTTAACTCCTTCCTGCTCGGTTTGAACCCTGGCTGCTCCCCTGTCTCCGCAGCACGGATCGGTCCTTCCTCTCCGGGCTGCTCCGTGAAAGGAAAGAACTCTTCCCCGGGATACGGAAAGGAGTAATAATGATCCCTGTTGGTAATTTCCTGCAGGTAATAATCCTGATCGTCCATGGGGACAGCCCGGGACACATCCCCCAGCAGCGCCAGCCCGAAGGTGCAGAGAGCGAGGCAGAGCGGAGAATGGCCACGGGCGATCATCGCAGGAGCGCCGGGGCTTTATTTGGAGAGAGGACAAAGTTTGGGCAGCTGGAAAAGCGCTCCGGGAACGGCTGGGGAAGGAGCCCGAGGGGAGAGCTGCTGCGGGGAGGGGGCAGAGCAGCACAGCCGGACAGCCGGACACTCGGACAGCCGGACACTCGGACAGCGGGACAGGTGTGATCCCCCGCTGGCCGCTGCCCTGCCCGGCCGCTCTCCGAGCCCGAAGCGCTCGAGTTTCCTCTCCCTGCCGGACTCCTCGCTCCTCCTGCGCGCAGCTCATCCAAGGGAGCGCTCATTCCAAGAAAAGTCAACTTGGCAGGAAGCCTTCTCCTCCCAGCCCGTGGCCAAAGTGTTTCCCTCCCCCGGGAGATGGGGCTGGGCACAGCCCGTGCCTGGCACGGTCATGGCTGGCACCGCCACCCATGTCCTTGTCCCGCAGGGGACAAGGGGGACGGTGGCAAATAATCCTCATTCCATGGAAGTTTGTCCCTTTGGTGGTGCCTTTCAACCCTTTTCAAACACTTTTAACTTTTATAAAGTCTCAGTCTCCCTTCTTTATATTAGTTTACATACATATAACAAAAAAAAAATTCTGTATAACTTAGTTTATAGATAAAAAGCTATAGTTTATAGATACAAAACTATAGTTTATAGATATAAAACTATGTTATACATATAGTAACTTGCATATAACAAAAAATTTCAATATAACTTATAGATACAAAACTATAGTTTATAGATATAAAACTATGTTATACATATAGTAACTTGCATATAACAAAAAATTTCAATATAACTTATAGATACAAAACTATAGTTTATAGATATAAAACGATGTTATATATATAGTTAGTTTATAGTAACTAATATATAACAAAAAAATTCTATATAACTTAGTTTATAGATACAAAACTATAGTTTATAGATATAAAACGATGTTATATATATAGTTAGTTTATAGTAACTAATATATAACAAAAAAATTCTATATAACTTAGTTTATAGATACAAAACTATAGTTTATAGATATAAAACGATGTTATATATATAGTTAGTTTATAGTAACTAATATATAACAAAAAAATTCTATATAACTTAGTTTATAGATACAAAACTATAGTTTATAGATATAAAACGATGTTATATATATAGTTAGTTTATAGTAACTAATATATAACAAAAAAATTCTATATAACTTAGTTTATAGATACAAAACTATAGTTTATAGATATAAAACGATGTTATATATATAGTTAGTTTATAGTAACTAATATATAACAAAAAAATTCTATATAACTTAGTTTATAGATACAAAACTATAGTTTATAGATATAAAACGATGTTATATATATAGTTAGTTTATAGTAACTAATATATAACAAAAAAATTCTATATAACTTAGTTTATAGATACAAAACTATAGTTTATAGATATAAAACGATGTTATATATATAGTTAGTTTATAGTAACTAATATATAACAAAAAAATTCTATATAACTTAGTTTATAGATACAAAACTATAGTTTATAGATATAAAACGATGTTATATATATAGTTAGTTTATAGTAACTAATATATAACAAAAAAATTCTATATAACTTAGTTTATAGATACAAAACTATAGTTTATAGATATAAAACGATGTTATATATATAGTTAGTTTATAGTAACTAATATATAACAAAAAAATTCTATATAACTTAGTTTATAGATACAAAACTATAGTTTATAGATATAAAACGATGTTATATATATAGTTAGTTTATAGTAACTAATATATAACAAAAAAATTCTATATAACTTAGTTTATAGATACAAAACTATAGTTTATAGATATAAAACGATGTTATATATATAGTTAGTTTATAGTAACTAATATATAACAAAAAAATTCTATATAACTTATAGATACAAAAGTATTGTTTATAGATATAAAACTATGTTATACATATAGTAACTTGCATATAACAAAAAAATTTCAATATATCTTACAGATATAAAACTATAGTTTATAGATATAAAACTATGTTATATATGTAGTTTATAGTAACTAATATATAACAAAAAAATTCTATATAACTTAGTTTATAGATAAAAAACTGTAGTTTATAGATATAAAACTGTTATATATATTTAGTTTATAGTAACTTACATATAACAAAAAAATTTCTATATAACTTAGTTTATAGATATAAAACTATAGTTTATAGATATAAAACTATGTTATATATGTAGTTTATAGTAACTAATATATAACAAAAAAATTCTATATAACTTAGTTTATAGATACAAAACTGTAGTTTATAGATATAAAACTGTTATATATATTTAGTTTATAGTAACTTACATATAACAAAAAAATTTCTATATAACTTAGTTTATAGATATAAAACTATAGTTTATAGATATAAAATTATTATATATAGTTAGTGTGTATATATATAGTTAGTTTATAATAGCTTGCATATAACAAAAAAACTATATAACTTAGTTTATAGATATAAAACTATAGTTTATAGATATAAAATTATATTTTATATAGATGTATATAGTTAGTTTATAGTAACTTACATATAACAAAAAAAAATCCATATAACTTAGTTTCTAGATATAAAACTATGTTATATATATATAGTTAGTTTATAGTAACTTACAGTTTATTGTTTAAATAATATAGTTTAACTCATATAGCTTTAGATAAGCTTATACTTTGAAGTAGCTTATTATTTTATAGCAACTTATAGCAAATTATCTATAACTAATACAACTCAACACATTTGGTGTGCCAGGTTATAAGAAGCTTCTCCTGGGGTACATGGCAGCTCCCTGGATTCAGGTTCATCTGGGGCCCTTTTTCTCACTCTTTTTGGGATAATCCTGATATTTATTCTCCCTGAAACGTCTTCCCAGCAGATCAGGATGTTTTGTGCTACACACAGGCAAGCCAGTGTCGTTAATGAAATCAATTTGTCTGAGAGCAAAATCTTATCTTTCATCTATTTCATGCCTCTAAAATAACCTTCAGTGCTGAAGGAAATGTGTAACAGTTGGCTGACATGAAATATGAATTCTTACTCCTGTGTTGAAAATACCAGCTTATATTTTCATCACGTATATTGTATTTCTTGCCACGGTCCAGTCAGCTGGGAGAAAGCATTACATCTGTTACCCCAGGCTTTATTCTGGCTTTGTGCTCACATTTTTACTGTGTTTCTCATCATTTTAATATCATAATAAGCATCATTTCATGTCTTGGTACCTGTATCTTTTGATATATCTGGTTTCCAAGCTGTGGGTGATCCTGTCCCATGTATGCAATGATCATCCTTGCTTTCTTACTTGCTATCCCAAAAGGAATGTAGTGATTTTATTGTGTCTGCTTTTCTTCCTTTTATAAAAATGCAGCTGTACTTTTCATCCTGGACTTTTAATTATTTTTTTTTCCTTTAAATCTGAAAACTACTCATCTTTATTTTTTAAATATAGAAATTTTTGGTTCTTAAAACTAGAATAAAATGTACTTTTCTTTTTCACTGCCTCGCCGAGTTATACATATATACATAAATAAACTATATTTGATGAAAATCTGCTTCCCATCAAACTTTCAGACCTTTTTATCTGTAATAAATGGCTTTGTCACCTCTGCCTCTGGGAGCAGTGTGGGAGCAGGCTGAATATCCTGGAAATCCCCTTTTAGTGATCTCACAAATATTCTTACTTTGTTTTCCCTTTCCAGAGTAGCCAGTCCTCTCCTGCCTTGGTCCTAGAGGACAGAGCACAAGCTACAGAAAATGTGTTTAATTTGCTGCCATTTGCAGCACAGCCAGTCTTCTGAAAACATTATGAACACTCATATACCTAGAGAAGTAGTAGAAAAATAAACTTTTCCGTGACGTCATTAAGGACTTGGCTTTTTGGGAACTAAAGGAGCTTTAGCTGCAAATCATTATTTAACTCGCTGTGGTGTTTAAAGATGGATAGAGAGAAGATTATTAACATTTTCAAACATAACAAGAAACACTTCCATAAAAACAAAAAGTTGAGTGTACTTTAATTAAAGACCTGAGGAATGTGATTTGGGGAAATTTTGCATTCCACTGGGAAGAACTTTTCGGGACATCAGACAGCACTAAACCCATTGCTCCTCCTCCTGCAGTCACCACAAATAACCCCCTCTCTTCTCTCTCTCTGTAATTACCCTTCAGAAAGATTAATTAATCCAAACACTCATCAATACCTATTGCTGGCTATCAACCTGTGCAAATAACCAGCTCCCCTGTACTTCTTTTTAAGGGTTTTAACACTTTCTGTGGGTGTGGGTATGGGTCCACTGCTTCCCCTTCCACACCCACCTCTCTTTTCAGGATGTGCATGAATTCAGCCAGCTGAGACCACACAAAAGTCTGTCTCTAGGCACAGTTTTGATCTACTTCACCATAAAATGCTTTTACTACTTTTTTATCTCTCAGCATCCTGGAAACAACTTACAAGAAAGGAGGTTTTTCTTCTAAGAGTGGCACAGAAGTATTGAGATCACAGAGGGCTCAGATGTTTTGGGCCTGAGGGCTGTTTCTTTCCTTTTGCCTGGGAAGTATCACAATAGCTTGTAAAAACCTGCATTGATGTGGAAGGAGATAAAGCAAACCCAGATTTTTGTAGAAAACAGCTGTAACTAGCATCACCCTCCCCCCTGAAATGATGCCAGTGAGAGTGTAGAAGTCATTGTACACCTTGCTTTAAATGCTTGCCCTGCTGCAGTGAGACACAGCATGCTGTGGTCTGCAAATGAGCGGCTTTTCCCCCTCTGCTCCCAAGAAGGATTTATTTGGAAGGTGAGGGTTTGCTCTCTAAGCTGGGTTAACACTTCTCAGGCCATGTATTTTGAGCTGATTTCAATAACACCTCTGGGAAAAGAGGCACTCCCAGCTCTTCCTTGCCCCTTGCACAGTCCCTGCTAGGGGAGGTTTAGGGTGGATATTAGAGGAGGTTTCATCATGGAAAAGGTGACCAAGCATTGGAGCTGCCCAGAGCAGTGGTGGAGTGATCCCTGCTATGATTTAAAAGCTGTGTCCACGTGGCATTTGGGGATGTGTGTGGGTTAATGGATGGACTTAATGATCTCAGAGATATTTTTCAGCCTAAAAGACTCTAGAAAGTGCACATTCAGGAATGCATTTCACTGAGGAGAAGGTAAAGTTGGACCTGTAAGCACTGTCCTTGCTGAGGATCTTAATTTGTATTTATACCACGCA